CCAACCCATCCCTCGTTGCGGTCGCAGCTCACAATGCATTTTTTCGGGAAAATCGGACCGAGTAACTTTGACGACGATTTAAGCAAGACATTTCCATTGAAACAAGTTGGTTCTAGACTAATTTGATGGTGGGGAATTCGATGGTGAACTCCATTTTTCGTAACGCCCTATGATTAGGGCGTTACGCGTGGATATATGTAGGGGGGTATGCGGTCTGCTGAAATATGCGATGCCGTACGGGTGCTACGATGATGCGGGAGGCATCTAAATTCATTACCAATGTGTTATCATAGATATGTGTGTGTTAAAAAAACAATTTTGAAACATATTTACGGCAAGCATGCATTTGTAGGATATTGGCAGCCCATTATTAAACATGCATATATCATATTCCCCATATGTATTCGCGCGCGCCATAACCATGCAATATGATACACTGTCATGCTTGTTTAGAAAATATTTTTCACCGTTTGGCAATAATATTTTGTTTCCTAAGCTTGGGGGTGGGTTACACAGCCAAATGGAGCAGGTTGATATTGCAAATTTGAGCAAATCTTTACATCTATCATAGGAACACAACCAGGTAATACACGCATATCCTTTCACACCGCACCAAACATTTTCAAGGGGCCCAACCCACATGCGCCCACGGTCTGCCGCACCAACCCCAAACAACCGCATACACGCTACAGGGCACACCCCCTCGTTCCGGTCGCGTGTCGGAGGAGTTGTCCTCACACCGCACCTGCGCACCATACATATTCAATGTGACCTACCCACTTACGCCCACGGTCCGCCGCACAAATTTCAAACCAACCGCATACACCCCATGGCACACCCTCGTTCCGGTCGCGTGTCGGAGGAGTTGTCCTCACACCGCACCATACATATTCAATGTGCCCTACCCACTTACGCCCACGGTCTGCCGCACCAACCCAAAACAACCGAAAACATCCTACAGGGCACACCCCCTCGTTCCGGTCGCGTGTCAGAGGAGTTGTCCTCACACCGCATGTATGAGACATGAATCGCTGCTAGTTTATTTTTTGCTTGCCACATGCCATGCAGGCAGTTGCAAATTGTGACCTTGGTAACGACCCCTGCAGTAGTACAACTAACGCATACTTTATAAGGCGCAGTGCCGCTAGAGTGCCATTAGCGTATTAACTTTGCCTACGAGCATCCTAACTACGTCCTAACGCCAACCTCCTAATGACATCCTAGAGGCATGCTAACGCCATCCTAACGTCCCTACATTTCCGAGAAACTCAGCCCGCGTAATACTTTCCCCGAATCCCACCATACTCCGCGGAATAAACTTCCCCTGGCCTTCTAGTCACCATAAAACGCCATCTCAGTGATCTGCACATCCACACGTGCCCCACCACTCACCCCTGCTCCAGTTGGGGCCAACGCATACTTAAGGCGCAGTGCCGTTAGGACGCCTGTAGTACGCGCATCTTAACGCGCCAATATGGCGTTAGTATGCCTGTAATATATTATACTACCGGCATACTAACGCCCATACGTACTAACTGTCCTTTACTACAGTATGCCTTTAGGACACCTTTAGTACACATACTACAATTTGCTAGGACCGTAGGGGCACCATATATATTCCGTGTGCCCTACCCACATGCGCCCACGGTCTGCCGCACCGACCCAAAACAACCACATACCGCCTACAGGCCACATCCCCTTCTTCTGGTCGCGTGTCAGAGGAGCTGTCCTCACACCGCACCAAACATATTCAAGGGGCCCAACCCATATGCGCCCACACTCGGTCCGCCACACCTTTGCATCGATCGTTTCTCCCCGTGAAACGGACATATACGCAACACATAAATGGATAGATAGATGTATAGATATGTTTTACTATCACCCCATACCAAACCAATACATATCTACAAGTGGAGCCATGGGTCCGGGGGCGCGCCTCGAGCCTTGAATCACAAGGACACGCGCACGCCACTCCTAACCCACCGGCTGTAATCCACTTCCACCCCAAACGAAAATGGCATGCTATACAATTAGCCACGGGTACAGGGGGGCGCGCCTCGAGCCTTCAATCAGGACACGCGCACGCCGCTCCCGACCCACCGGCATCTTGTACCTACGGCTCGATCTTCGTACTGTCCGCGCGATTAATGCGTCAAGTGTAAAGCCTCTTGGCCTTTGATGCTCGTTAGAAATAGTTGCTGACAGTATTCGTAAGTGTATCAAAGCTGTATGACACCTTTCACTAGAGTTCTCCATCCGTATGACGACGACGCGGCTTGACAAACAGGGCTTCCACTTGCGCAACAATACAGGCTCTCACCCAGCGACCATTTTTTCTTAGGAATGGGCCTTTTGTTCTTGCAGTTGAAATGGTTCAAGAAGATAGCTCGCTACCCCCTCTCGAGAGCACTTATAAAGAAATGAAGGTAGAAGCACTTACATGGATCTGCTACAAGGAAAAGAAAGAAATAGCTTGTCAAGACAATCTTGTGTTTGGGCCTGCGTTTTGAGGTGTCGCCACAAAATTTTCCGCTCTTGAATTTTGTATTCGCAGGTTTATACGCGCTAGCAGTGGCTCCGGTTGTACCTATGGGCATCCAACCAAGATGTTAGAACAATAGAAAATATACAAATAGAAAAGAGCACAAATAGAAAAGAGCGATGAGGCATACCTTTAGTGTGTGGCATCTCGGGTTTTTACCGAGATCTCCAAACCGCAGGTTTGGCGCTCTGTTTGAGCTAATGCCACTATCGCAATGCAAACTGAAAATTTGCGTCGCCTAAAAGATAGGGTTGCCAAGTGTTCCCCAATCTTTTCGAAGAGATACTCACATCAAACAAACATGGGGTTTACTCCACGTGAATTTTCGCGAGGAGAACGCTCGTGAGGTCGAAATATTCCTTTGAATAGCGGGTTTTCCGCTATTAAAGGGTCTGAAAACCTGCGAATCTTTCAAAAAGGAGAGGGTTAGTACAACGCGTGAAAAAACAAGCTTCTATTGTGTGGCATCTCGGGTTTCAACCGAGATCTCCAAACCGCAGGTTTGGCGCTCTGTTTGAGCTAATGCCACGAACGAATTGCAAGCTGAAAAAAACTGTCGCCAAAAAGATAGGGTTGCCAAGAGTGCCTCCATCTTTTCGGGAAAATACTCAAATCAAACGAACTAGCTAGGGGTACTCTAAGGGTAGTTTTCCGCGAGGAGAACGCTCGTGATGTCCAAATAGTTGTAAAAATAGCGGTTTTCCCGCTATGGAAGGGCCTGAAAACCTGCGAATCTTTCAAAAAGGAGAGGGTAAGTCAATGAGTGTAAGGAAACACTCTTCTATTGTGTGGCATCTCGGGTTTTCACCGAGATCCCCAAACCGCAGGTTTGGCGCTCTGTTTGAGCTAATGCCACGAACGAATTGCAAGCTGACAAAAACTGTCGCCAAAAAGATAGGGTTGCCAAGTGTGCCTCCATCTTTTCGAAAAATTGACCAAATGAAGTGATGTAAATATCATCATGTGGTGGTTTTCCGCGAGGAGAACGCCGGTAAAGTCCAAAACGCCGTTAGAGTAGCGGTTTTCCCGCTTGCAAAGGGGCTGCCGATCTGTGATTTTGTAAAGAAGAGAAAGCTCGAGTGCAAACGCGTTTGTTTAAGCGTAGCTACAAAAATGTCATGTTACCATACAATATAATGGAAATAAATGACTATTCTACTCTAAGAAAATCGAAGAGCGCCATGTCGTCGAAACTTCCCAAAGCCAAAAAGCGTTCCAAGCGCGAGCGTAAATCTCTTCAAGAACGGCCCAGTGAGGTTGACCAAGTCAAATTTTGAACTTGCAACTTCTCAACTGTGTCACGCCGCAAATTTGAAGCATTTCATAATCGATATGGATATAAATGTTGAACCTCATCATAGGCCACGATCGATGGCATGACATCACCCGTCTGCGTGACTGCGTCCATCGCACGAACACCCATCACACAGTTTATTATACGCTTATACCACCACCGATCAGTGATCCACTGATGTGTATAATTACTCATCGTCGACTGCCAGACAAATCTTTGGCCTTTTACAAACCCAGCCTCTCCGAGTCATATCTCCTGGCATCGCGCCAGTCATTCTGGGGCTCTCGCGTGAACCCTGGGGCCTCCTGAAGCGGGCTTGGTGACATTCCTATGTCATCGGGTATATAATTCTACCGATTTATACCGACTTAAGCAAACTTAAGCAAACTTAAGCAAACTTAAGAAAACTTAAGCAAACTTAAGCAAAAACCTTGTTCTAGTGACAGGTGGCTCTTCGATGGGCTCTTCAGCTCAATATACCAGTGGTGGCCAACCCTGCAAAGGATCAGGATGACTTAATGTTCCTCGAGCCCCTTTTCAGCTTTACGCTCTCTGCAGCCGAGATGGAAACCTGGTCGGGGCTAGCTTTGCCTTCTGTGAAAGCGAACTATTCCTGAGACGACCCAATATGCGTATGTATATCTGCCGTGCTAGACACATGAAAAGTAAAGGATTCAAGCATCAACTTTTAGAGAAATAACATCTCTGTAAAGTTTATTTTCTTCTTTTACAATGCCATTCAAGTGTAACTGGCACAGGACGCGTTTTTTAAAAATCATTTTGAGGAACAACACCATCAACTCGTGTGGCAGTTTTGCGAGGGCTATACCGGGGGAAAGGGCAGCGATCTTCTGTGAGTAAGTGTTATATTTTCAGCCCCTAAAGTGTACGTTTTGTCATGAACAGAACTTCTATATGTAGTTGTAAGAAAATCTGCTGGATGTGTCACACCGTGTGTGTCACAGTCCTATGTCTGTACTAGTACTCTGTACAGTACGGGTGTCACATGTTTAGGGTTTCCGGCTTAAGCCGAGCTTTGGTCAATATAACTTACTTCTTGTGTCACCACGCCTCATTATTGACACAGATTTGAAGAGTTTGAAACCCATTCATGGGTCTCCCATTATAATCTCTCTTTCTCTCTCTCTAGACGGATGGAACTTCGCCACCCACCGAGAGTTGAACTCGGAACCTCTCGCATATCAATGTGCGAGTGCTCTATCCAGTTGAGCTATGGGTGGAATGAGTGGTGACTCGTGCACTGCTAGGCCAGATTCGACAGCTAGAGTCTGACACTTAGATAACTAAGCCAGATTCGATAACCGGAGTCTGACACCCAGACTTACTATGCGGCATATATACAATTGTGCCTTATTACATCGGCCACCTGTTTTGTCTTTGTGGTTGATAACATAAAGCGGGTGAATAGCATGTAACTCCCATATTGTACTTACCCTGGGAAAAAATATGCACACCTGGCAGCACACCCCGGGCCTGCTGCACCGCCTCCTGCAGCCGGCTGGGCTTGCCCGAGCTGCGCTCGCACGGGCGCGGCCTCCTCCGTGCCCAGCCCGGCCTCGCCCAGCTGAGCCTGCAGATCCTCCACCGCCTGCAGCGCCGCCTCCATCTCCGGCAGCAGCGCCTGCACTTCCCGCGTCACGCGCCGCCGGCTGCACACCCCGGGTTTGCTGCACCGCCTCCTGCAGCCGGCTGGCACGCCGCTGGGCTTGCCCGAGTTGCGCTCGCACGGGCGCGGCCTCCTCCGTGCCCAGCCCGGCCTCGCCCAGCTGAGCCTGCAGATCCTCCACCGCTTGCAGCGCCGCCTCCATCTCCGGCAGCAGCGCCTGCACTTCCCGCGTCACGCGCCGCCGGCTGCACACCCCGGGCCTGCTGCACCGCCTCCTGCAGCCGGCTGGCACGCCGCTGGGCTTGCCCGAGCTGCGCTCGCACGGGCGCGGCCTCCTCCGTGCCCAGCCCGGCCTCGCCCAGCTGAGCCTGCAGATCCTCCACCGCCTGCAGCGCCGCCTCCATCTCCGGCAGCAGCGCCTGCACTTCCGGCGTCACGCGCCGCCGGCTGCACACCCCGGGCCTGCTGCACCGCCTCCTGCAGCCGGCTGGCACGCCGCTGGGCTTGCCCGAGCTGCGCTCGCACGGGCGCGGCCTCCTCCGTGCCCAGCCCGGCCTCGCCCAGCTGAGCCTGCAGATCCTCCACCGCCTGCAGCGCCGCCTCCATCTCCGGCAGCAGCGCCTGCAATTCCGGCGTCACGCGCAGCCGCCTGCACACCCCGGGCCCGCTGCACTGCCTCCTGCAGCCGGCTGGCACGCCGCTGGGCTTGCCCGACCTGCGCTCGCACGGGCGCAGCCTCCTTCGTGCCCAGCCCAGCCTCGCCCAGCTGAGCCTGCAGATCCTCCACCGCCTGCAGCGCCGCCTCCATCTCCAGCAGCAGCGCCTAGACTTCCCGCGTCACGCGCCGCCGGCTGCACACCCCGGGCCTGCTGCACCGCCTCCTGCAGCCGGCTGGCACGCCGCTGGGCTTGCCCGACCTGCGCTCGCACGGGCGCGGCCTCCTCCATGCCCAGCCCGGCCTCGCCCAGCTGAGCCTGCAGATCCTCCACCGCCTGCAGCGCCGCCTCCATCTCCGGCAGCAGCGCCTGCACTTCCCGCGTCACGCGCCGCCGGCTGCACACCCCGGGCCTGCTGCACCGCCTCCTGCAGCCGGCTGGCACACCGCTGGGCTTGCCCGACCTGCGCTCGCACGGGCGCGGCCTCCTCCGTGCCCAGCCCGGCCTCGCCCGGCGGAGCCTGCAGATCCTCCACCGCCTGCAGCGCCGCCTCCATCTCCGGCAGCAGCGCCTGCACTTCCGGCGTCACGCGCCGCCGCCTGCACACCCCGGGCCTGCTGCACCGCCTCCTGCAGCCGGCTGGCACGCCGCTGGGCTTGCCCGACCTGCGCTCGCACGGGCGCAGCCTCCTTCGTGCCCAGCCCAGCCTCGCCCAGCTGAGCCTGCAGATCCTCCACCGCCTGCAGCGCCGCCTCCATCTCCAGCAGCAGCGCCTAGACTTCCCGCGTCACGCGCCGCCGGCTGCACACCCCGGGCCTGCTGCACCGCCTCCTGCAGCCGGCTGGCACGCCGCTGGGCTTGCCCGACCTGCGCTCGCACGGGCGCGGCCTCCTCCGTGCCCAGCCCGGCCTCACCCAGCTGAGCCTGCAGATCCTCCACCGCCTGCAGCGCCGCCTCCATCTCCGGCAGCAGCGCCAGCACTTCCGGCGTCACGCGCCGCCGGCTGCACA